TGTCTTCCCCGCCGGGGGCTTTGCTCTGGCCCGCGCCACCCCCCCAACCTCTTACTCCGCGACTCCCAGCACCACGGCTCCCCACCTGGCATCCCTCTACGTCTATCGGCCGCGGGGTGGTGCCCCTGGCCCGACAGCGCCCATTCGCACCCGGCTCCCACCCCCTGGGGTCCCTGTCCCCGACAGCGTCCTTGCCCCATCTTACCTCCCGCCCCTTTAGGGCACTCTGCTCCCACCAGCCAACCGCGCAGTCACCGTCCCGGTCCTTCTGACTTTCTGCCCGCTTCTTCTAGGAGGCTCTTCTCATCAGGTGCCCTCGCCCAAACTTCCTACCCGTTTGCACCAGGTGCCCCTACCTCACACCTTCTCCGTCCTCCTCAGGTTGCTGCCCCTTGACCCGGAGACCCATCCCTATCTTCCCACCTGCCGCCCTGGGGGTCTGTTCTCACCGACGACGCCCATCCACTCTGCTCCTCCAGGTCCCACACGGCGTCTTCCTGCCAACCCTACCTCGTTCCCCGGACCCCTCTGAAACTCACGTCCTCGCCCTCGGCCCTCTGCCCCCATGGTCCCAGAGCAGGGCCCCGCCAACAACAGCACCCCGGACTGGGAGTCGGGGCCACGGTCGCAACAGGAAGGCAGCGGCTGGGTGGCGGCCGCGCTGTGTGTGGTCATCGCACTGACGGCGGCGGCCAACTCGCTACTCATCGCTCTCATCTGCACGCAGCCTGCGCTGCGCAACACGTCCAACTTCTTCCTGGTGTCGCTCTTCACGTCGGACCTATGGTGGGGGCTGGTGGTGATGCCGCCGGCCATGCTGAACGCGCTGTACGGGCGCTGGGTGCTGGCGCGCAGCCTCTGTCTGCTCTGGGCCGCCTTCGACGTGATGTGCTGCAGCGCCTCCATCCTCAACCTCTGCCTCATTAGCCTGGACCGCTACTTGCTCATCCTCTCGCCGCTGCGCTACAAACTGCGCATGACGCCCCCGCGCGCCCTGGCGCTCATCCTGAGCGCCTGGAGCCTGGCCGCGCTCGCCTCCTTCCTTCCCTTGCTGCTGGGCTGGCACGAGCTGGGCGGCGCGCGCGC